AAACATTACATAATAGACACTTTTATGTGTTTGTTTAATTTAAAATAATATCGAACCATTCACGTGTCGATTCTGGAAACATCTCCTCTGTCTCTTCTCAAACATCCCGAAACTACAATTACTTTTTATCCAAGTTAATAAATTTCACTAAAAGGTAATAAAAGATTTAAAAACCCTTCATTCGAATTTATTTCTTTATAAAAGGAAAGTTATTCTCTCCGATCGTTTCACCATTTATCTTTTTCTCTTCTTCTTTCTCAACAGCTTATTATCTAAGCTCTCTTTTTATATATCTCTCTTTCTGTTCATAGTAAACAAAGAAAGCCCTAAATTTGGATTTCTCATTTCTCTAATTTTGGAAAAAGAAACAACAACAAAAAAAGAAATCGTTTCTTCTCTAATAATTTCTTGACTTATTTTTCCTAGGAAAAAAATTCTATCATCGTCATTGTTTATCGTTAATGGCGGTGGAAACAATGTTCATGGGATCATCAGACCATTCATCAGCTTTGATTCTAACGTCAGGAGCAAGCGGTCGCGTTACAGCTCTCTTCTCCATGCGAGAGCTCAAACGTCTCGTTAACATCATCCACTCTCTCATTCTCTTCCTCCTCCTCCCCTTTCGCGTTGTTCTTTGGAGGATAATGACGGGAGCGGTGCTCATGATCAGAGACGAGAAACATGAGAAGAAAGTTGCGGTTGTGAAGAAAAGAAACATCAGCGTTTCGCCTCCTTTGGTTCCTGCTGCGGTGGTTGATGAGGAGGTTGCGGTTAGACGTGAGCTTGCGATAAGGCGAGTTTTGGAAGATGATGGAGGTGATGGAAGCTACGTTAGAGATTATTCGTTATTCACGACGAAGAGAGGTGACACGTTGTTTACTCAGTCATGGTCACCTTTTTCTATAAACCACAGGTAAAATTATTTCTTCTTTTAACATTCCTAGTCCATTGTTTTTTTTTTGAACAATAATACTCCATCATTGTTTTTAAGTTTATTTTAATTAAACAATTTTTTTTTAACCTTAACGTTGTCAACCTTAGTACTCAGATATGCGGATCAGAGTTAGAAAGTAAGCATTTCATTAGGTTCATTAGGAGAATATTGAAAGATTAGATGAGACATGTAGAAAACAGAGTATCTTGCTTGTACAAGTGGTTTTAATATATCAATGTATTATGGATAATGGAAGACTTTTTCAATAGTAACCTTTGCACTATCTTCTGAATTAAAAAAAAATCAGAAATCATTTTCTTTCTTTTTTTTGTAAAAAATGGTTTTCAATCTTTCATGCCCTCTATTTTGTTCTTGTAGAATCATTATTTTCTTGTTTGGTTTCTTATCTTTCTTGATTTTTTATATTTTTTTTTGCAGGGGGCTTGTTGTTCTGTTACATGGATTAAATGAGCATAGGTTTGAACATACAGTATTTCTCTATCTTTGCATCTAAATATAGTTTTCTTGGCCTTAAAAAAAAACTTTTAACATTAGCTTCCTTTTCCAAAAAAATGATGACAGTGGAAGGTATACTGATTTTGCAAAGCAGCTAAATGCAAATGGATTCAAAGTCTATGGAATCGATTGGATCGGTAATTTTACTTCTCTTTCACCCTAACTAAAGGAGCTTCTGTATACTGTAACCATTTATCAAAGTCTAAACCTATACATGGTTTTCAACTGCGGATCTTGATGATATCTATGATAACTAGAAGTCGACATTAGTACCTTCAAAAAATTGGAAACATGAAAATGTTTTAGGATCAGCTATTTCATAGGCTAGAAAATACAAACTCTTCAACCATGCCTCTCTATGTTTGCATGCCGCAGGGAATATAGTGATTTTTTTTTGTGTTTGACGTGGTGCTTAATACGTGTTAAAAAAGGTGACACAGAACCTCATCTTTAGTTTTTTACACTGCCAACAACTTAGGACTATGATTTATTATATCTTTAAGCAGCAGTTTAGGCATCTACCTCAATGTTAACTTCCAAATCTATTTATCTGAATGTGAGTAGCAAATGTTTCTGTCTGATCAAAAACAGGTCATGGTGGAAGCGATGGACTTCATGCTTATGTTCCTTCCCTTGATTACGCCGTTGACGACTTGGTACCTCTCTCTCCCTCCCTCTAGATTCCACAAAACATTTTGTTACTGGATCAAACTCACTCGATCACCTTTGCAGAAATCATTCCTTGACAAGGTTCTCACAGAGAATCCAGGACTCCCATGTTTCTGCATTGGACACTCAACAGGAGGAGCCATCATCCTCAAGGTTAACATCTTTACAACAACATCATATCATCATCATCCAAGTACTACAAAATCTCAAACAATGTGTAAAACAATTAAGTGCATGCAGGCTATGCTAGATCCAAAGATTGAGTCTCGAGTTTCAGGCATTGTATTGACTTCACCAGCTGTTGGAGTCCAACCATCTCATCCAATCTTCACAGTAAGTCATAAATTTTCCTCAGTTTTCAAATATTTCTTACCAAATCTGATCAGGTCTCTTTTTCCAAAACAGGTTCTTGCTCCAATCGTTGCGTTCTTGTTGCCAAGGTACCAATTAAGTGCAGCAAACAAGGAAGGAGTGGTGGTTTCTCGTGATCCACAAGCTCTCCTCACCAAATACTCTGACCCGTTAGTCTTCACCGGATCCATCCGGGTTAGAACCGGCTACGAGATCCTTAGAATCACTTCTCACTTGCAACAAAACTTGAACAAAGTAAAAGTTCCTTTTCTTGTGATGCACGGTACATCAGATGCCGTGACTGATCCTAATGCCTCTAAGAGGCTCTACGAGGAAGCATCTTCTTCAGACAAATCAATCAAGCTCTTCGAGGGGTTGTTGCACGATCTCCTCTTTGAGCCTGAGAGAGAAGTCATCGCTGGAGTCATATTAGACTGGTTAAACCAAAGGGTTTAAGCTTCTTCCAAACCAGCAATTATACTGTCACGTCTAATCAAGAATCTCTTGGTTCAGACAAAAGGAATAATATATTTTTTTGTGGAAATTTCTGAGTAACTTGACTGAGAATCATGAGGAAGAAATTCTTAAAAGGAGTTATTGGATGATTTAACAGCTTTTTAAGATAGCCAAAAGACAAGAAGACTCAAGAAACTGGATTCTCTTGCTATTCATTGGTCTCTAAAAACATTTTGACGCAAGTATGTTGTAACATATATATCAATAATAATTTTGTAACCACGAGGATTGTAATATTACATCTTTATACTAAATTCATGCTAGTTCGTATTTTATTGGATATTTGAGATTTAATGATTTTGATGTTTCCGAAATATTTGTCTTACTTTTGTTGTGTGAACTAAGCATTCTGTTTGTCTAAGAACAAAAATGATGGAGATATATATATATATACAAGCATAGATTTAATGTTGACTGATATAAGTGGATATCTCTGCTTGGTGTAATCTAGCCTCTTCCAGCTGGTATGGAGCCTATAAGAAGCTAAACCTTTAACCACTTCGTAACACCAAGAATGTTCATTCTTATTATCAAAAGCTCGCTCACATCCTCCCTGGAGATTTCTTCACAGTTTTGTGACTTGTGTGGCTCCATGATTGCCATCTTTTGGAAACACCTCTCAAAGAACTTGTTTCCATGTACACAAACATCTAATAGATTTGAGATATATGTGAATAACACCGATTAATAACCAAGTGATTTCTCCAGAAAAAGTAACATATAAATTTAGGGCAAATCTATCATCCCTAATGAGTAGAAACCTAAAAATGAGTTTTCATTTTGCAAACAATGGAAAAGAGAGAATAGAAGAACAAAATCTAATAGTTCGAATCACATATACACCTACCGAAACGAGCTTAGGTTTTCAAAATGATGAAGAAATGGAGAACAGGAAAACAAAATCACGTATGCAGTTGAAGGAGCTTACGTTTCCTAAATGTAGAATTGTTGAGCCGAGTATTCAGTTCAGTATACTTAAAAATGCTGAGATTTGTTTCTGTATCACCATGTTTTGTTTTGTACCAATTATATTGAATCAAGTATGAACTTAAGAAGATATTTGGAAAAGAAACAAATCGAATAAAGAGACTATATATGAAGCTACACTCTTAACCTTGCTTTTGGTTAAGGCAGGGAATTTGAGTCATCATTATCCGCGAGTCTCGCCTCTGATTCAAAAAATTCAACATGCAAGGGTAGGTTAAGTCGATTTTAAGTGGGCGGATGAGGATCAGCCAAATTTGAATCGTGAGTATCCGGATACCTACAAAATTTAAAACAAAAATAATTTGTAAAATCTTAGGGGGAAGGAGTGGGCGGATACTATTTTTTCTTTTGAGGTTATGCGAGTCAAAATTTTGAATAAAAGAGAGTATCAAGTGTATATGCACTCTTTAGTTTATATAAAAACTACATGTAGGTAGTGATTGACGTATATTGTTTTTACATGTTTTTTTAGCTATTGAATCTGGTTGTTTTAATGTCTAAGAATTAAATTTAAGTGTCACTAGGAATTGCATATATACATATTTGCATCACAGCACTATCAAAAGTTGAAGCGAATTTGAGGGTTAATCTGCACCAAACAGAAGTTTTGGGCCAAAGTCAGAAAGGACCCAAACTCAAGACCTTTAGCAGTAAAAAGGAAGAAAAAAGAAACACAGTTTTAGTTACAGCTCTGAAGTGTCTATTTCAGAAACTGGCCTTCGGCACTTTGTTATTATAGGGAATCTGCAATGTTACCTAGAACCATGAAGTGACCACTTCAGGAAAACTGCATTTTGCATATTGATACTCTAATAAAACTGTTTTATTGGGCCTTTTTTTTGTTTTGAAGCTTATTAATGCTAGGGACTGTATATATTGTTAAGATTGAAACCCTAAGTTACCTCAGTCACCTTTTGTAGTTTTTTCTTATTCTTAGATCTAAAAATTCTTAGTTATTTCTTGCATTTAATCTAAGTATTTATCTTGTTTATATTTTTTTCCACTTTTCTCTAAACATGATTCTTTAAGAATCGATGATGGGTTATTATGGCTTATAATAATTAGGTATTTTGGGCTTTTGGGTTGGTAGATTATAATGAAATATGGATGATTGACGATGCTTATGACTAGATTAACCTTGTTTTAAGCTTGTTTTCTTAATGCTAGTTTAGACTTGATATCACTCAACTAGATATTTAAACATTTCACGCACGACAGGTGTTCGATGAAATGTCTAAATCAACTAAACCTTGCTCCTTGCTTACTTAACCAAATACATTTGATATTTAAGGAGCTTGGATGGTTAGTAGGCTTGTGACTCATGCATGCTTGATTGTGTTAGGCTAACGACAATTGATGTTTGATGTATGATTAGCATAGGGATTATTGTCACGATAGTGGATTAATCTAATTGAATGAGATCAAGACCTTTAAAGTATTTGTTAATAGATGATGTCTAGCACCTAAATCTAAATCAATCATCTCTGATCAGTTACAATACTCAAGAACTTGTCTTTCTTAGTTTTATCTAGTAGTAGTTATTAATTGTTTTTATATTTCATTAGTTTAGAATTTACTTCACCTCTTTGTTTGCTTAGATTAAGAAGATTTGTGTATTTTTAGTGTTACCGATTTATTGTGGTAATGATGAGATAATGATGATCGAGATACCATTTGATTGTGGTAATGCACATTAGATTAATTGGCCTATGATAAAACGGAGAAATCAGTGATTCTTATGGTCCTTGGGAAACCAAAACGTAAACAAACTATATTGGAACTTTTTTCTTAGTCAAGGAGAATAGGGAAATTCTGCTATACAATTTTTAATTAATCTGAACAAAATGACCTTAAGGGCTAAAAAAATAAATTAAAAAGGTGCGAGAAGGCTTGGTGATGATGCTATGTACGTTTAGCCATTTTATGAATTATGAGGACTGATATGAAGCTAAGATCGATGCATTGGTTATGTCCAAGCCGTTATCAGCGTTCATTAGAAGGGACTTTTCATCGTTAAAATATCAACTAACTAAATGCAATTAAGAACTGAAATATAAACATCATATATATGATTGATTTACAAGATGAACACATGATGATTATACATAACAAGAAAGCAAGATCACTCTAGTTGACATTATTTTTACACAAGCAAACTCAGAAGTGATAAATTGAAAGAGAACAATTAAAAGGAAGCAATTTAATCAGCAGCAGAGGAGGGCATGTCTTTGATGTATCCACCAACCCATGGATCCATTGTCTGTGACTTAATCTCCCACGTCCGATCAAACGCTTTCCATGGGATACTCTTGAGATCTTCCACCGAGACACCCAACTCCTCAAGGGTCACATGTCGAGTTCCCTTGTTACTACTACAAGAACTCTCACATAGAATCTTGTCCTCATTCATATCAATGAAGTTATCATGATCATTTAATGATAATGATCTCTCCTTACCCTTATTTGTATCCTTGATGAGATCATTAATATTACAAAAGGTAAAGCAGCTATCTACATGAGAGATGTTGTTTTTGGTCTTGTAGCTGCCTAACAATGGATCTTGATTTGTTTTGTTATTATCACTAACATGACTCTCGTCTTCCGAAAAATCAAAAAACTTACCACGTTGAATTAATGATAATGATCTCTCATACTTCTTCATAGCATCCTTTGACTTTGGTAACCCCTTGACCACGCTATTTAAATCGTTGAAGGCATCATCAAGCTCGTCCCACCAACGCACAGTTCTCGGCTTCTTCTTTTTATTCAGCTCTAGGGTTTCCTTGTCGACATCAGTACAAGATGATGACCCCAAGGATTTGTTGTCCATCATCTGATGAATCGAACGTTTCTTGGTGAGCGCGTACTCTCGTTGCTTCAACGCCATGTTTCGTTGCGCAGCAATTATATGATTGAACATGGCTTTAAAGAGCTTTTTATTATGGTTTTTGGTGGTTATGAAAGCGTATGAGATCTTCAGTTTATATAAAGAGAGGAAGAGCTTGGGTGTGATCGTAATCTTGGAAGGGAAGGAAACAGTTTTATCACATAAGGTAGCTTCATAGTGTTTTTGTTGCTGGTCAAAATTTAATACATTTACTTTAAATAATTATTGAGATTAAACTGATCCTAAATTATTAAACTGCCACGACTATGTTTATTTCAGATTGTGGAGCAAAAATACTTTACTCTAATTAATATTCTAGTTAGTTATTTCAAAATCATAATTAGTACTAAATCCTGAAATTATTTATTTAAGACTAAAATCAGTACTGGTTCATGAACTAATTATTAATATTAAATTTTAAATAAATGAAGATGGTTGACCATTGACAAAAGAAGATTTTTTTTTTTTATTAATTTAGAAGTATCTCAGATCCACACAGACAATAAAAATACAATTCACAGATAGACCCCCCCTCCGAGGATTTAAATGGATCCTAAAACATGGATTCATATCCGTATTAGATGACCATAAATAATTGTAACTTAGTTTCGCGCTGCAAGTAGATCGAAACTGAAACATTTTGGTGTCTCAGTCTCGCCTCCTTACTACTCGACCACAATCACCTGATCTGTCTTAGTTTTTTGTGTAAGATATTATCTAAAATAATGTTATTACATCGGACTGCTTTCTTTAGGGGAACTCGGTAGGAGTTAAGAATGAATCCTTTGTATATACATGAAAATCCATTGAAAGTTTACAATCCATTACAGTACGAAGACAACATCAAAACAGCTACCTCGTGTGGAAGGGTTGGGTTGAACCCTTTGAATAGTATATGTGGTTTTGAAATTTATTTTGAGTCAGGTATATTTCTGTAAAATTAAGTTTATTTATCAAAGTTATGTCCAATGAATTTTCATGAGTAAAAATGTAACGAACTAACTAATATTGATCTTAAAATAAGAAAGAAGAGGCAGTAATCGTGGCAACTGATGAGAAGAGAGCGTGTCTTTGATGTAATTTTTGATTCTGATAGAGATCACATTGTCATTCTTCTTCTCACGAGGATCACTACAAAGTGCCTATCCACTATTAAAGATACAGCATCCCTGTCGTACTTAGATTATGTTTACCCCTTAAGCATGCTACTTACTTCATTAGCATCTTCCTCTTGGTTAGTGTCGGTCCAACATTTAAATTTTCTTCTTAATGTCCTAAACTTATTTAAACTTTATGTTTTTATTATCTTTGTAATTTTTTTTATAATGCCTTATATATAACTAAAATTATAACTTAAAATCATGATACCCTAAACGATTGTTTACCTCGCTTACATCAGTTGTTTGATCACTAACATGAGTCTTTTCTTTGATCACTGTCGCCATGTTTCTTCTGAAACCTACTAAATTGAGAGACTATGAAGCTAGTAGGACTCTTAATATGGGGTTTGGTGGTTTATGGGTATGCGCTTTTAATGCGTATGGGTCTTTAGGATGATCTGTCTCAAAAAAAAAAATAGAAATAGTTTCCTCAAATAAGAAACTTTTTCAAATAACTAAATACATAGAGAACTTTTTTGATATAAGATTTAATTCTTGATCATTGTCTAAGAACATCTTTAGTGGAAAGATACTCTTAGACAATTAAAAAGTCAATATTTCAATTTTCTTTTGTTTTTAATTTTTCTAGGTCATATGTTTAGGGCCGGCCCTGAAAATAAGGGGGCATAAGACCAGTTTTTAACAATTTCACATAATTTTTTTTTTATAGATTTGTGGGCCTAACAAAAAAATTTAGGGACTTATATGCATAGAATTTTTTTCAAAAAAATTGGGGGCCCAAGACCAATGTTTCATTAGGCTCGACCCATGACCGGTCTTGCATATGTTCCACTAACAAAATGACATATATAAAATAGAGTTTTTTAATCTATAAAACACGCCTCTTCATGACCAGGCGTCTCTCACATCTATACTATTAAAGCAGAATCTCTTATAAGATTATGTCCTTGATATTTACTAGATATTACAATATTGCCATTACTATTTATTATAAATATAGTTAATAAATTAACAAACCATATTAATGAATTAACAGAAACACGTGATATTAACAATAGTAGTTTCAGGAAATCTAGGTCATTAATTGTTGGCCTTTTCGGTATGAGTATATGATCTATTAAGATATCTTTATTTAAAAGATTCTTTGGATGACCAATTAAATTTACTTAATTTTTAATATTTTATTTCCTAAATCCTCATATAAACATTTCCAAAATCCAGTCAAAATTTTCCACAATAAACATTTGCGTGTTTGTTGATTATATAAATGTGTAATCAAATTTGGTAAAATGGTTGGACAAAGTATATTAAATTCTATTTGGTCCAAATATATATATTAAATTATTCAGAGTTATATAAATAAACATCTAAGTCTAAGAAAAAAATTTCATTTTAATTTCTTTTAGTTAAATTAGTACTTTCATATACTTAGGTCTTAGCTACTAACTTAAAAAAAAAAACATTTTTAAAATATTATTATAATTCTGATATTTTCAGATCCTCCAAGTATTTTGACACAAGTCGAATTTGGTTCCATCTATTCTGGTATTAAAGTTTTGGACCATTCAATTATTTTCCCAATGTGGTTTGAATATGGTATAACTTTTATACATGTTGGGTTCGGTTCTTTGAATGCAAATATTTTGATCGATCTAAACTAAAGCTTAATTTTAAAAAGTTATTTTAAATAGAAACAATTCTACGCTTTAAAAGTGCGGGTTAAAACCTAGTTTCTTTCTTATTTTTGTCTTCGTTTCTCGCATCTCTCTCTTATTTTTGTCTTCTATCACTTTCTTTTTTATTTTCTTTAATTTTTTTTTGGTGTGAGAGATCCATCGACAGCCTCCTACTAATGATACTCTAAGTTTCTACTCGTACACCTCGTAAATAGATAAATAATTATACATTAAAATAATATCATCATGACTATACTACAAGCCAAAGTCAATCTAGACATAAATTACTCTAGTTACCTATGTTTTCTGATTCATTATCAGTATGTCATAAAAGAAAATAGTAACACTAAATCTATATCTTGAAAGGGATAAGAGAAAATTCCATAAAAATATCTCAGCTAAATTTGATTAAGTTTTTTTAATATCCAAAATTCATTTTGCTAATCAGTTAAATATTTTTAATAGTCATTTTTTATTTTAATTAAAAGTACTATTTTTTTCAAAAAAGTATATAAAATCTCCAAAATCTAAGAATAAATATTAAAAATTTAATAATTTATTTAAAATTTAGGAAAGAAGGTAAAAATTTAGGGATAGAATTTTATAATTTAAATTATTAAAAAATATAAGTTTTTTTCAATTTCAGAAAAAATACTAAATTCGATTGACAAAAGAAAAAAATAAAAAAAATAAAAATACTAAATTCAATATTTAAAATTTAATACTATACAAAGTTAAGTTACTTTTATATCTCAAACATACAAATAAAATTATAATTTTCTGAGACTTTTTTGTAAAATTTAGAGTTTTTAAAAAAAAATTGCTTAAAAATATTAGTATTTATAATTAAAATAAATAAATTTGGATACTAAAATAGATTAATTTGAAATTTTGTATATTAGAATGAGTAAAATAGTTAGATAGTATATTAAATTGGGTAACGAAAAAAATTGGATATTAAAAAAAACTCTAAAAAATTAAGTTGGAGTATTTTTAAGGAATTTTTCCAAAAAGATAATGGCCAATTTTGATTTGAAGTTTCATTTTAGTTGTATCCCAAACTTTGGTTTATAATTATTGTTAAATATTTATAAAGGAAACTTGGTAGGAATTAACCTATGAGTGCAGTTATATATTCTAAAACTAGATTGAAAATTTTACATCAAGCAATACCACGTGCGAAAGATTTGAAAAGTTTAGTCTCGGCTCTGTTGAAAATTCATATGGATTTAGCTCTTTGAATATCTGGCCTTGGTTTAGCTTCCTCCACGAATCACATAAAGAACCTAAGTAGAGTCAATTTATAAAAGAGAAATTTTCTAAAATAGATTTTAAAAAGTTTTTGTCACAAATATAAATCTTAAAAATAAAAGTAACCAAAATAAAATTTAATATTTTATCAAAAATAAATAAATAGAGACTTATACCTTTTGGATTAATTAATCCTAGATTTTTTTTTATTTAAAATTGAAGTATATTTTTGGAAATATGATTTCAAATTAAAAAAAAAAATCAGAAAAATTTTCAAAGAAAAAATGTTATTTTGATCATTTTTATTTTTGAGGTATATTTTTATGATAAAAATTGAAAATATATATTTGAGAGAATTGCCCATTTATAAATTTCCCATTTATAAATATTGATAATCCAATTTATTTATAATATATACACAGTTACAGATTATATGAAGCCAAACATTAATTCAAACAATTAAGAATGAATCTTTCTATCTAAACACCTATCTAACAAATGAATAAATCAAATCAAAAGACTTCAAACATGATCTGCTCTTCAAAAGCTCCCAATGAAAGCTTTAGAACAATCAAAAGTCTTTTCTGTATCCATCAATTCCAATATGATCATAGACATTTCCGGTCAATGAATACTTCCAAAGCTTCTCTCATCCACCAATTCTGACACAAGTCAAACGCTTCAGACAAACAAACCCACTTCCTTTGTCTGAAACCAGACTCAGGCCATTGCTCAAACTGCTCGTTGACAAGCATAGGAAACATGTAACCATCGTGAACCATGTTATGTCTTTTACTCTTGTATTGCCACTTCCCTAGTATCTCTTCGAGATGTCCCGTAACACCAGCTTCCTCCATGGTCTCTCTCAAAGCTGCTTCTTCAATAGATTCATCAATCTCCCAACCACCTTTTGGTAATAACATTCCTTTCCCTTTCTTCTGTGCACTTATTAACAAAACTTCAATCTCTCCATCGTTCTTGTATCTATACGGTATACATCTGCATAAACCAAACCAAACCAAGATTCAGATTCCAGACGAACCGTAAAACCCAAGAAATTACAAAAATAAAAATTAGGGTTTTGTTCAATTTTACGTACCCGACGACCTGACGATAACCAGTTGTGTCGTAGCGTTGTAAATCTCTTCCCGTTCGAGAGACCAAAGAGACGACTTTTTGAATCGGAGTTGGAGAATAATTTGAGATGAATAAAGAAACATAAAGATCTGTCATCTTTGTTTTTGTCTTCTTTTCTTGAGAATGAAGAAGATCGATTTGATGATGTTGTCTGAGAGAAAGAGAGAGGGATTGGATCGAAGAGGAAGAACGATGAAACGTTGTTATTTATAAGGAAAATCTCACGCGCTTTATTACACTTTTTATGGTCAACTAGTTCCCTGTCTTTGACTATTTGTGATTAGTTCGGTTAAGGAACCGGTTATTGAATAGACTTTTTTTGGTTAATTAAGCCTTTCAACTTCTGTCTTTTTCTCTTATGTTCTGTCTTTTTTTGTTGTTGTTTATTTTGAGATTTCAGATTAGTTCACGTGACAACTCTTCCAACAATATTCAGATTAGGACGAGGTTCTTAACAACATTTTCACTTTCATCATCTTCTAGATCGTTTTTGTTACATGGAATAAAAATCAAACTTTGATGTCAATGAGTCATACTCTCCCGCACGTACGCGGAAAAGAAGAAGGTGAGTGGAGAAAAGCAAGCAAGTGGGGTTACACAACATGAACACGTGATACGGACACGGTATTTACGGAGACAATTTGGTACAAAAAAAATATTCTACAAAATATAATATCTGATGCAAGATACAATTTTTTTTTTAAAAAAGATACAAATTTAAATGAAATAATTAGGACGAGATAAAAACATTTACCAACCAATAGAATATTTACATACATTTACTTTTTTTTAATCACATAAACATACACTATTTTTGCTGGGTTGGACTGAATTGAACCATGTCACTATTGTGGATCAAATTTCTTTCTATTTTAGTATGTTGGATAAATTTAGCATCAAATAAGTCATATTTCTTTCCTGATTTTTCGTTACTTTCATTGCAATTGTTCAACAGTTAGATAACTTATTATAACATAGCATCCCAATTGCATATAATTTTAGTCTTAGACGCTGTTGGTAATTCTTGTTTTTGTCGTATCGCACCACATTTTTAAACATGAATATAGCTTACGAGGCGACAATGTTATTATTATTACAAATACAACTCATACCAAAAAAAAAGACTACATAGTACATACTAACATATGCTTCGGTCACAACTGATGGAGATTTGAGACAAAAACACTTCAAAAACGTAAATCTCATTTCTGGTCTGAAGAAGCATCAAAGTCCTGTGAAAGCAGAAACGATGCTAAATACCAACAAACTGATAGCTAGCGCTGCAATTTTGGAGGTCCTGGCTGAAGAGCTCCCTGTTTCAATTAGAAATGTTTAATACAATTTCCAATTGACTAACACAGTCTTTCCCAACTAAAATATATAATATTTGGTTACATACTACGTGGAGATAAGTTCTAAGTTTTTTTTTTCTTTTAAAAACACCAAACTATACGACAAGGTTGCTGACCAAAGTAATAAAACGCTAAATTTTTTTTTAAAATTATGCTTATATTTTTATAATGTTTAGGACGAAGCCCCAACTAATCCTCCATGAAAACAGTACTAACAAATAGTCATATCCTAATTTTTAAATGAGACTTGAAGCATTGTTCTATGTTCTACGACCAGGCGATAATAACTTAGTTAATAGTAAAATTTAAACCCAAAACCGACAAAAGTCTTTCTCTTACAACCAAAGCTATCATGGCTTAGCTGATCATGATTATGATTGTAAGCTCAATAGCATATGCAAATATGAATCTGGATATCACAGAAGGTAAGTAGATTACCGCTGGTGGTAGATCCCGCGGTCGACGCAGCAGAGGGAGAATCTTCAGTGAAAACACAAGGATATTAGAAACGGCGGGTCATGGACTTAAACAGCACGTTTAAATTATGAGACTATTTATCTTAAGTCAACACTATACAATAATCACACATAAATAAAAAGCTAGACGAAGAAACAGAACTCACCAGCGTTACAACGTGACGCATCATAACTAGCTCCACATGAACTAATGAGATTAAGAGCACCCTCTTGGTCGAGATGAATGAGTGCCATCATGTCTGGATGTTTGAAGGCTTCGCATAGACATGTCACGTCGTTCTCCACGATATCTTTCAATGGATTGCAACACCACATCGGTGGAGGAACCCCGGAGTTAACGTACAGACGACATGGCAATAGTTTTGTTACGCATTGCATCATCGATTTATTTTGGTCGCTTATTACTGTGGCTTGGACCGAGTAGAGAATGACGAGGGCGGTGGATACGCCGAGAAATAGGGTGATACTCATTTTCTCATGTGTTATGCAGCTTTTTTTTTAGTGGGTTTAAGATGATGAGTATATGTAACGTATTGTTCTTATATATCGAGAAAACGGATAATTCGATTTCTTATGATTTTAAGGGGTCAACCATATGGATTTGTTTTTCAAAAAAAAAAAATATATGGATTTTTTGCTGAATTTAGTAGAAAAGTTACCCGATGGACGACTATCAAAACTAGTTATCAAGTATTAGTTCTGAATCTAGATTTTATGCAATGATCTTCTTACCTGGTGTATCCAATGATATGATTCTCAAAAAATATGTTTTTATTCTCCTTTGAATGAGAATAATAAAAGGTAATGTAATTGATATTTTATACCAAAAAGCTGTATTTTGTCTTTACTAATCTCGTATTCGGAGAGCATGTACTAACGTTTTACTCCAGTATGTATTACTGTATAAGAAATAACAGTCAGGTGGTTTTTTAAAATGCAAATGAAGAGGCTGAATGTAGTGGCTTGGTCTGTGCAATGCAATCTGCATGAGCACTTGGATATCATCAAGCAATTTTTCAAGGATTGTATACGGTGTCTGAAGAGATATGATCAGACAGTCAATTTAAAACTAAGTCATTACACAAGGACGATTCGCAGCTTGGTGCAATTCAAACTTATAAAAGAAAAGGACAACAGCATCAATGATACATTATTATTATTTATTTTTATTTTTTATTTTTTTAATGATACATTATTATTAGATAAAGAAAGATTACGAAATGATTCTCTTGATAATTTGTTTACTATATGTTCGCCAATTTTGGTTTCATATGTGATATATAGTATAATGTTTATAAAGTTCGCTTGTAGCTTTACAAATTAAATACTTATCCGCCTCTATACAAAAAATATTTGTGTTTTACAAAGTATGTGTAAAGAACATAAAATGAATTGAGTAATTAAAAAAAAAATAACAGTGATTTATAGTTGATTTTTTTCTGTTTATATATGTTTTATTACATAGCTTTTTGAAGGATTTGAACCTTATTCGTCAGTTTTTTTTTGTATATTTTTGGATTCCATACAAATACACTTTGGTACAGTACAAATTGGCAGTTCGAAGGAAACTAATTTGTTTATTTGTACTCGACTATATTCATCATTTTCCTCTATTTATAAGAAAATTATGACAAGGAAACTACACGATAATGTGAGATTTGGTTTGTGATTTTGTCACAGATTTTGTTACCTAATTTAACTAATTTGTTTTAATAGTATAGGATTAGTGCATATAGATGTCATAGTGGATTTACACAAAATCACAAAATGTTAGAATTGAACTTTTTCTAATAAATTAGTAAGACATATCTTTGACCAAAAAAAGGAGACAATGTCTTAGATGCGGATGATATAACATAACCAAACCAATTCAAAGCTTGAATTATGAGGCAATTGTAATAAATAATGTGAAGATAATATTGCGAATTATCTTAATGGGCTCTGAATCTTTTAATGGGTTAAAGCCCATTATACTACATAAACGAAGCCTTAGAAGATGATGGTTCGGTTTGGTGATGTTATTCCTCTTGTATATGTGTGTGAAGTTGTGAACCATTGGGTTTGGCATGTCTCTGCCCAAGGCAAGACGGCACGAATTTTAGTGATTGGTGTTTAGTTTAAAGGAATCATCACGTTATCGCAAGGACAAGTGATATATTCTACTTCGTATATTCTTTTTCTTTAAACGAAGTAAAGGAGAAAAGAGATGAAAAAGATTACTTTATTGCAGCTATAGCAGCTTTTGAGGAACACAATATTTTCTTAAGAAACGAAGTGGAAAAAGTTGGTAAATTTTTCAGATCCTTTTTAATATTCTCTGTTGTATTTCTATATATTTCTTTTATGTTCAGCCTTTTAGAGAACCCAAAACCGTGCAAATTAAATTTTTTAAAAATTGTGTTTTTTATTTTGGGAAAGCATCTTACATATGCTTTTTTCCATCTGATGTTTTTCTTTTGGTCGGGAAAAACTTTGAAATTGTAAACCAGACCTCTTATTCTTGATTGATATCTTAAAACACCCCCTAACTTTTAGTTTTATTTGTAAATGAAACTGACAAGTGTCATGCCTCTTAACTTTTAGTTTCTACTTTCCAGTCTAACCTTTACCCCATCATTAACAACTTCGACGCATGCTCTCCTTCATTGTCTCTACACATTAGTGTTCCTTTCGCTTTTTTAACTCAACAGATTGTTTCACTTCAATATATACTCTATAAACCATCAAGGCTGAACAGTCCGACACATCATCGGTATTCGATTTGTTATCACAAATCCTATCCAGAAAATAGCCGTTGTTTGGCAATCAATTGATTGGATAAATTTGTAGTTAACTCTAGTGTAAATGTAGTAGCAGACAGATAACATAATAGTATATGTGACATTGTGAACAAAAAAAGAAGGTATAGGTGACATTCAAAATAGGAGAGAATCCATTTTGAATTTTGGAGATTTGATCACTAGAAATCTAGGACTAGAACCTTAAACTCGATAAAAATATTACAAATTCAACTACATCGTATATATTTGAGTATATATTCGTTAGTTTAAGTGGTATATATGTTTGATTATACAAAAACTTTTCGACTGTTTTAATTTGATGATTTGGATATAAATTTTTGCGTTTGGAAGTCATTAACTAAGTTAAGCATTTTGGAAATTTTGATATTAGTATGTGTATCTAAATGGTTTAGGCATTGGATATTAGTAAAAGTGTAATGATATGACTTTCAGTTCATACAAAGCCAGTCAAATTTTACCTTTAAATTTATGTCATTGAAAAGATCATTAGTTTGTTTGTTTCGTAAGCTAAACACATTTCATATCAAACACGAATCTTCATTAGTCATCATCCGTTTAGTAGTGGGGGATTAATTGATTTGGGTATAATTAGAATTTAGAAGGCTCCTATAGTCAAGCGTGTTAGAGAACAAAAGCATGGGCCTTGATCCGTTCTTTCTTGGCACAATGAGGAAACTGTAATTACTAATTACATTATAACTAGTTGAATACATTGGGAAAATAAAAAGCTGCAAAGAAAAAAAGAAGAGTTGTGTTTGTATGGGATGATGAGAAAATATAAATAGCAGACTGTTGATGGAATATTGGCATTGATTGGTAACCATGCGGAATGGCGGAATGGCTTATGAAACGCGATTCCGCAAGAATTTTGCCAATCAACAAAATGTTGTGGAATGAAAAAAAAACGCGAAAACGCAAGTTTGCGTTTTTGCTGACAAAAATATAAAGAGAAAATTTATTAAGTGGAAAAGTGAGTTTTAGTAGATTATGGTGGAAAGATTTACAAACTAATATTTTCATATTATTATATTATATGCTAATACTATCTTAAAATATAAAATACATATCAATAATTTTTAATGATAAATAATTATGTTGTAAATAAAGTTCTATTATAATTTATATATTAAAAATCTATTTTTAAAATGTATTGAAAGATATGTTAGATACTTATAATAAAAACTAAAATGTTTTTAATAAATTTTAGTTGTTTTCACTTTTGTAATAATTAGTTTAATTATTACTAGTTGTTTTTTATAACAAATTAAAAACCATATAAAATATTTTAATCAATTTAATATATATTCCGCCATTCCGCAAATTTTAAATTTTTCCACGACTTAATTAATTTTTTCCGCAACTTAACTAT